ATCTTTGCCTAGTTAAAGTACTATTCCACAACATTTTCTCCTTTTTGTCTAAACAAAAGGAAGGGTTTTTTTGTTTTGTTTTTTTTTTAACCTTAGTAAAGCTATATACAACAAGAACAATTACTAAGTAAGGATTACATCTACAATATCTATTCTTTTTGTATTCATCAAATTCAGAGAAAATACTCCATTATCTAGTCTAACTTCATGAGTTCAAAGTTTTGTACCTAATTTACCTTCTATCATAACTAAGGAAAATCGTAACTATATCTATCTGGTATTTAACTCCATCAAAGATCCCAGAAGGATATAATATTACCTGAGTAAACAGAAAGTACTGTGCAAGCCATTTCCAAAACTATAAAAATGACAAACGTTCTGGCTTCCTGGACAGTCACCCAAGGTTCTTCCACAACATTGGGGCATCCATCTTTGACCTACAGGCCTAGAATATCTGGCAGACATTTTTCCATGAAGTAGGAATGTTGAAGAACTGTTTTGTCTAGTCTTGGCAAAGTTTAGCAGCCACTTTCCTGTGTGTCCTGAAGAATGTCTGGCAGACTTTTCTATGAAGCAGGAATTTTGAAGGACTGTCCTGCCTTATCTTGGTGAGAGTGTACTACCACCATCTGGATCTCTTTTCTTATGTTTCTGGGTTTTTTGGTTTTTTGTTTGTTTCTAAATGAAGTCTCATGCAACCAGAGCTAATCTGGAACTTGGTATATAGCTGAGGCTGATCTTGAACTCAGGATTCTCTTGTCTTTACCTCTCAAATGCTAAGATTACAGATACGCAACCCTCCTCCATCTCCTCCCCCACCAACACTCTTGTGCTAAGATGTTGGTCAACTTTTTTCTCTCTCTCTTTTTTTTTTCCACAAGACAAGAAAGAATACTATTTTTTTTTTCTTTTTTTGGCTCTTTGCTCTTTTGGGAGGCCTGTCACCCAGCTACCAAATAAATACACACAGGAATTATGAATGCTGGGTCTTTGTGTAGCTTGTTTCTTGCCAGTTTTTCTTTTATTATTCTGTCTACCTTTTGCATCTGGTCTTTTACCTTTCTCTATCTCTGTATTTCTTTTCTTTCCTTTTTATTCTTATTCTACGTCTGGTAGTGTGGCTGGGTGGCTGGCCCCTTCTTTTCTTTCTCCCTGATCTTTTTTTTCTCTCTTTCTTTCATTCTATTTCTTCTCTCTGCCTGCCAGCCCCGCCTATCTTTTCTTCTGCCTTGCTGTTCAGCTCTTTATTAGACCAATCAAGTGTTTTAGACAGGCAAACTAACACAGTGTCAGAGTTAACAAATACAACATAAAAGAATGCAACACACCTTTGCATCATTAAACAAATATTCCACAGCACAAATGAATGTAACATATCTTAAAATGATATCCCATGGAAGCTGGAGAGACCGGTCAGTGGTTAAGAACACTGGCTGCTCTACCAGAGGTCCCAGCAACCATATGGCAGCTCTCAACCATCTGTAATGAGATCTGGTGCCCTCTTCTGGCCTGCAAAGATACATGCAGGCAGAACACTATACAAAATAAATATATCTTAAAAAGTAATGAGTGGGTTTAGACAAAAACCGTTTTTTTCTTTTTAAATATGGCTATTTGCCATCTTGATTTCCCTGCTGACATAATTATCAACAACTAGTTCACTAACTAGTTCACCCAGGTGTTAAGTTAACATGAAAGAAACGTGGCAGATTTTGCAGGGTTCTCTAGATTCTTGGCTTCTTTTTTAAATACAAAATTTCTTTCAGCTGGATATGGTGGCACATGCTTTTAATCCCTGCACTGAATGAGACGGGGCAAGAGGGAGAATCTTTGTTAGTTTGAGGCTATTCTAGTCTACATAGTGAAACCCTGTATAAAATAATCAAAACCAGCTTTAAAATTCTTCTTATCATCTTACCATCATCATCATTGTTGAAAAAGAGAACGCTTTGGTTCGGTTTGTTTTTTCAACATTGCTGGGCATCAAGCACAAGACTGCATATATAATAGGCAAGCGTCCTACCTTTGAGCTATGAGCCTAGCTTCAAGGGTATCTTCGACTTCCACAAGCAGGAGAGAATGAGCGCAGAGAGGCAAGAAAGTAGTTAGACGCAACATGATTGTTGTGTCTAACAGCTAAATGTTGGTTCAAACTTTGGGAGTCTGACCCCAAGCAGTTTTATTTTAGGCACACTTAAGCATGTACAATCTGGTAAAAAACTATTCTTGGGATGAGTAACTCAATTCTGAGGGCACAGCAAAGTGTAACTAAATCTCTTTGAGGAAAAAAGTAAGCTAAATTCAGTTCAGAAACGACTACATTGAAATTCTATGTATACATGTATAAATACAACCTCCTATAGATTGACCAAGAAAAACAAATTTTAAAGCATTAAAAATGGAAGTGATTGCCCAGGCATGGTGGCACATGCCTTTAATCCCAGCATTCAGGAGACAGAGACAGTGAATCTCTATGAGTTTGAAACCAGCCTAGTCTATATAGAGAATTTCAGGCCAGCCAGGGTTACACAGTGAGATCCTGTCTCAAGAGAACAAAGGAAAGCCCCCCTCAAAGTGTTAAATTATTTGCTTGTTTATTTAGCTATTTTGGGGACAGGGTCTTGTGTAGCCCAGGGTAGCCTTCAACTGGCTATATAGCTAAGGATGGACTTGAGCTCTGGATCTTCCTGCCCTTTTCTCCCAAGAGTTAGGATTACAGGCTTGTGCTATCATGCCCAGCTCAATTAATGGTTTATGGGCAAGCTGGTTCTATGAGATGTTCTGTCCAAACTTTGATGTACTGCACAATGCTTTCATGCACTTGCAAAGCTCTCTTGTCTAACCTGCACTTACATACCACAATGATAACATGGTACACACACATATATATAATAATAAACAGCATTTTCTTAAGAGGGACATGGGTGGCACCTCATCCTCACCTCACCAAGAAACTACTAGAGTTTCTACCGGATCAAAGAAGAATTTTATAAGACTATAATGGATCAAGAGACAAACCCTATGGTTGCCTTGAAGGTCCTGATGCCATACATGTCAAACTAATATCTTCTGGTTGTGTTTGGTGATGCACTCTTTATTCCTAGCACTCTGAGGCAGACATAGGTGGACCTCTGGTAGTTTGAGCGAGACTGCTCTAGATGTCGAGTTCCAGGACAGCCAGAGCTACATAATGCTAAGTCCAAAGTGCCCCCCCCAAAACAAAGCAAAACAAAACGAAAGGGCAGTGCTGGTGACAATGTCCCAAACAGGACTTGGTCAGGTAAATAGAAGGATTGCTATTGGGTAAACAGAGGCCTAAAGGTGGTTTCTGCTTACCAGGAAACTCTCTTTATCCCATCAGCGACCTTAACTAGGATTCCAAACAGCCTATGTCAGCTCAAAAACCCCACCTTGTTGATTGTTAAATAAAAATCTGCTTGCTTTCCTGCCATTTTGCATCCCCCTACAGTGCCCCAGAGAGAGAGATAGCCTTGGCAGTTTGATCCCCAATAAACTCCCCTCTCTACCCATGGAGTGGTCCAGTTCAGCAGTTTCACTGTGCCCTTGTGACTTAAAAACGAGACAAAACAAAATTTCAGGACCTTTTGATGGCTGTGAATGAAAAAGAGAACATAAAGTGGTGGTGCACGCCTTTAATCCCAGCACTTGGGAGGCAGAGGCAGGCAGATTTCTTTGAGTTCAAGGCCAGTTCTGGTCTACAGATCAAGTTCCAGGACAGCCAAGGCTACACAGAGAAAAAAATCAGAGGGAGACAAACCAGGAGTGGCCATGCTCACTTGTAACCTCATGCCCTGATTAGTGTTTGTTTTGCCAACTTGACACAAGCTAAAGTCATCTGAGAAGACCACATTGGAGAAAACGCCTCCACCAGATTGGCTCATAGGCAAAGCCTGTAGGACACTTTCTTGATTAATGATTGATGTAGAAGAACCCAGTCCATTGCGGGTGGTGCCAACCCTCCTAGTGATCCTGGGTTGTGCAAGAAATTAGTGGAGTTAATGGTTCTCCGTGACCATGTGGGTGCTGGGAACTAAATTCAAGTCCCCTGGAAGAGCAGCAAGTATTTTTTTTAACTACAAAACTATTTCTCCAGTCCCCATATTTGTAAGTTTGGGAAATTGCTCTCCTAGTGAAATAATCTTATTGATCTCTTCCCCTCTTTCTATCCCTTTTAGTTTTGGTAATTGCTTATAAAACAGAAGTTAATATGCCCTATATTCACTTTCTCATTTCATATAGCAAGACCCCACTTTCCAATATAGATATCACTTTTAATTATCTAATTTTGCGGGAATATTTCATAGATACATGTAATATATCGTAGTCATACCCAATTTACACTCCCTTCCTTCAGATTCCTGTGTTCCCTAACGTATCCTCAATTTCCCTCCCAGTATCATGTCTTAGTGTTATACTGCTGTGAAGAGACACTATGACCAAGGCAACATAAAGAGAGAAGAAAGCATTTAATTGGGGGCTTGTTTACAGTTCCAGAGGGTTAGTTTATTATCATCATGGTGGCAGACAACACTGTAAAAGTAGCTGAAAGCCTTATTTATCTAATCTGTTGTTGTTGTTGTTTGCTCTTTGGCTCTTTTGGGGTTTTGGGGGGCCAAAATCTCAAACCCCATTAGTGATACACTTTCTCCAACAAGGTCACACCTTCTAATCCTCAGTTCCAGGAATTCAAACATAAGACCCTATCAGAACCATTCTCATTCAGGCCATCACACCATCTTACATGTTTTCTACCCACCCCACCCCCCACCCCCGCCTTAGGATGATGGGGTTTGATGCAGATGTTTCATCTTTGAATACTCAGTCCCTCATTCTCCGTTTTAAGGGCACTAACTACTACCCTCTGTAATAAAAACCCACCTGTCCCATCGACAAGTGCACCCTCGGCTGCATTTCCCCCTTAGGACTAACAGGAAGTTTAGTGGATCATGTACCCTTTATTGTTGGTTTACATTTCAAACCTGTGTACGTTTAGCTACAATGTTGAATAAATGATTGGTTGATGTCAGTGTTGACTTGATCCTAATGAGGCCGACTGTGTGCTCTGGAAAGGGGTCTTCATTGTTCTGTGTCACCTGTCCCTTCATTAGTTCAGAGTCTTCCCAGTAACAGCTGCAGCTCCCAGCATAGCCCTTCTTCCCGATGGTCGCACAGTAGGCTAAGGACAAATTTAGGATTTTAGAAAGATCTGGTAAACCCAGAATGGGCTGGGGTGGGTAGGGTAGAGATAGAAGGATCACAAAGGCTTGCTTATCTGGACCTGGTAGCACACATCTGTCATCCTACATCTCAGAAAGTGGAGGCATAAAGATCTGAAATTCAGAATTATCCTTGGCTACTATGCAGAGAATCCAAGGTCAGGCTGGATACACATACATATGGGAGGGAAGCTGGGGAGATGGTTCAGTCACAAAGAGGACCTGGTTCAATTGTTAGCATTTGTGTAAAAGTAAGCTGGGCTCTGAGAGGTATACCTGTAGTTCTAAGGAAATAGAAAAAGAGGATCCCAGGGGCTTGATAGCAGCCATTCTAGCCTAATTAGTGGACCACATGGTCAGTGAGAGACCTTGTCTTAAAAAATATAGAGAGCTGGAGAGACGGCACTGTGGTCAAGAGCAAGCAAGCACTGGTGCTTTTGCAGAGGTCCAGGTTCAGACCCCAGCATCCATGTGGCTGATCACAACTGTGTCTCCTCTGCACGGCCAGAGTACTGAGCTTGGCGGAGGGTGTCGGGATTGAAACACTTAACGGGCCACCATGAGAAGTGAAGAGGAAGCGGCTGCCATTTATTACAGAGAGTAATACCCAAGCCAGGGGTAAGCATAGGAGGAAATCATGCACCACCCACACCTGGGGTCAAGGCATGGGCACTGCACACCAGAAAGTTCTGAGAACAACCTTGTTTGATCAACCTTGAGAGCACCGGAGTTCTACAGCGGGGTGGGGAGGAAGAGAGCTATAAGGGACAAGTACTTAAATTTTCCAACACAACTGTCCATAACTCCAGTTTCAGGGATCCCCTTACCCTCTTCTGGTCTCTGGTGGCACTGGGTATCTGAAGAGACTCATACACACAAAGCAAAATGGATACATATGTAAGTACAGAAACGCACAAAATAAGGATTTTAAACTCATTTAAAAATTGTTTTTTATTTATGTGTGGTGTTTGTGTGTTCACCACATGTCTGCAAGTGCTTGCCAAAACCAAAAAAGGGTGTCAGAGTCCCTGAAAGTCTGACTTATGTGCTTGGAACTCATGTGTTCTTAAATTTAAAGTATATTTAAAGACCAGCAAGATAGTTCAGTGGGTCAAGGTGCTTGCCACCAGGCCTGATAATCCAAGTTCGGTCCCTGGAGTGCTTGGGGTAGGAGAAGAGTCCAGACTTCCACATGTGGTCCTGTGACCTCCACACACACTCCACAGCATAAGTGGCACACAATGTATTTTAAAAATAGAAATGATGTGTGTATAGGACAGATATGTTAATTAGCCTTCTCATTTTGTTCCTACAGATGAAAGTGAATAATCAAGTGCTTTTAGCAGAAGTTTAAGTCTCCTAGGCAACCATTATCATCATAACTTACATTATACAAAGCTAATGGGAGACTAACAATGTATTACCCAGCTGTATGGTCTCCAAAATCAGTAATATTTTTAATTAAATAAGAGTAGGTGAAGCTATAGTAATTATTTAGGTTTTACCCTTAGTAACAATACTATAAGAAAATGATATGATGGAAATAGAAGTTACCATACAGAAAGAGCTAATTGTTGTATTCTATAAGATCCAATAATAGTTGGGCAGTGGTGGTGCACACCTTTAATCCCAGCATTCGGGAGCCAGAGACAGGCAGGTGGGTCTCTATGAGTTCAAGCCCAGCCTGGTCTAAAGAACGAGTTTCAGGATCTCAAAAAAGAAAAAAAAAAAAAGAAAAGAAAAGAAAAGAAAGAAAGAAAGAAAGAAAGAAAAAGAAAAAAAAAAAAAAAACCCAGCAACAACAAACAAAATCCAATAATGGTCTGACCTTGTTGCTAAAATTCTTTCTCAGGAGGAGACATAAACAGTATCTATGTCTTCTTCTTTTGGTCCCAAGGACAAGTGAATGAAAAGAAGAAATAAAAAGGAGAGGGAAGGGGAGAGAGGGGAACCAGGTGCAGCAGCCAGAAGGCCCAAACTAGATGGGGGGGGGGGTTGCAACCAAAATGGTTGGATTTTATAGGGAAGAGCAGCCCAGCCCCCTGGGCTGGAGAGTTCAGTGTAGGGGTGGGGTGTGCCAGCCAGGAGGACCCTGTAACAAGTAGGGGTTGTGGGATGCAGGAAGAACCTGGCCATCAGCATTCGCATTGATGTGTTAAGTAGGCACCTCAGCCATCTGTCCCGGGGTTGAAATCTAATAGTAAGGTTCCACCAAAGGTCAGCCTGGGGAACCAACAAGCTTGTTTAAAAGGCTTACTTAGAGCAACTGCCCCACACTATGCAGCTGGGATAGGCAGAATTCAACCAAATGCAGCATGGGCTTTTTCTAGCCCTGGCCACTAGAGGACTCCAGCGATACCTCTGCACCAACCAGGAGCCTGCCTGGTGTGGCGCCTCTCTCTTGGTGATGAGGAAGCATGGTCATAACCAGGGCCACGATAGACTGAGTGGGACACAGGGGTGGGATGGTCTGACCCTGGCTTCAAGGAGAACACACAGGCCCAGCAGGCAGACAGGCACTCCTATGGTGATCGAATTATGGTGTGGTATGGAAGAGAGAGAGAGAGAGAGAGAGAGAGAGAGAGAGAGAGAGAGAGAGAGAGAGAGAGAGAGAGAGAGAGAGAGAGAGAGAGAGAGAGAGAGAGAGAGAGAGAGCGCTTCATGTCCTTTAAGAGGAGAAAGAAGTGAGGAGTGGGTGGCGTGATCGCCACTCAGGGCCACGGTGTTGTCTGTGCCTGGTCTGCTACTGGGGCCCATGTCTGGATTCACGGCTCTGAAATAACCACAGTCTGGATGTCCGCGGCTCTTGAATCCAGCAAAGGCAGAGAGGCTAGGACTGTACAGAATCGGCCCCACCCTTCACTGGCTGTCACACTAGGGAGAACTGGCCTTGCCCCTGGCAGACTGAAGCACTCAGGAAAGAGAGTCCTACCCCTCACCTGGGCAGCACCAGGTGAGCTGGGCAGCAAACAGGGAGCTGACCCTGTCTGCAGGGGCATGGGTGAACGGGCCATGAGGCAGTGAGAACGAGAGAGCAGGTGGCACCCCTCTCGTATGCCATGTGGCAGCATGGGTGAGGGGAAGATGCCCTCCTCCCCTCGACTTTCGACGCCTGCAGCAGGTGGGGAACTGACCCAACCCCTCATCAGCTGCAGCACTCGGGAGAACAGGCCAGGTGTCTCACCTGGGCAGCACAGTAGAGTTGACCCTGTAGAGGGGGTGCAGGTGAGTCAGCCCTGAGGGCATGCTGGGGCATAGCTGGTAGGTACCGCCTCCCTAGTCTGTAGAGTGGTGGTCCGAGAGAGGAAAGATGCCCTCCTCCTGCCCCTATTACTTTCAGCTGGTGAGGGAGCTGACCCTCCCCTTTACCAGTTGCAACATTCAGGAAAGCAGGTCTTGCATCTCATCTGGGCAGCACAGCACAGCTGACCCTATTGACAGGGGTATTTGTAGTGAGATATCTACCCCGCCCACATCTGTAGTGCTGACCACGCCCAGATGGATTCGGACATGATGGGGAATGGTTTTAGGTCTGGGGTCCGGACACAAGTGGCTCTCTTGCTTCTGGTCTGGTCACAGAGGGCAGCCTGGGTGAATCCTTGGTTCTGGAACTTGTGGCGGTCACCTGCTTCTTGTGTAAGTCCCCTAATAAACGTCACTTAGCCTGTACTGAGTCTTGTGAATTTTGGTTGATCCTCCCCCACCCCCATCGCAATATCTGCCAGCACTACAGGTGTGAGTAGGGTGGATATCTCACTACAATTCCCCTTTTAGTATTAAGAAAAAGATTTGGGCTTGATACAAAACTATATACAAAGATAGAAAATATCAAGTATGCTCTAGGAGGAAGAAAAGTAAGAAACACACTTAAGACCTAGCGCCAGTGAAGCAACAAGAGCAAATGGCAAGAATTACAGGCACTGGTAAGCCACCCCAAGAATGACAGCATGGGAGATTTGGCTTCATTTCTCATTTGCCATGTGGTGGTGTGGGTGAGAGAGAGATTCTCCCCCCCCCTCGGCCCCCCACAACCACCCCTCGACACCTGTGGGTGTTAGGTTATAAGAGCTGCCCATACCCCTCACCAGCTGTAGTAGGGAGAGTGGCTCTTGTACCTTTCCTGGGCAACACAGTAGAGCTGGCCCTGATGGTCCAGGTGTGGGAGAGCTGACTCTAAGGGTATGAGAGTTGGAGAATGGACCGTGCCTCTTGCTCATCACTTCAAGCCAGGACAATGCTGGAGACCTGCCCTGGTGTTGAAAATGGGAGAGGTGGTGTGCTGACCAACCCTGCAACTACCCAGTCCCAGAACCAGGGTTATGAGTTGGTCCACCCCAACATCCATCCCATCTATGATCTGTGGGAGCATGTAAAGGAGCTGGTCCTGCAGGATCTCCACAACACAGCAACAACCAGAGGCCTCAAACCAGACCAATGACTCTTTGTAATGAACACTTGCAAGCAAAGATATATGGATAAAAGGGCTTACTGTGTGACTCACTGTGTCACACTGCAGCTTCCGTGATGAGATTTTTCTCTTTCCTTCTTAAATTTTATTCTATCTTGGGGGAGGGCTTGCAAGGGCTGAGGGCAGATACCAAAGGCTGGAGAAATAATTGGGATCAAGATGCATGACATGAAAGACACAAAGAATAAATTTTAAAAGTAAAAATAAATAAATAAAAGGTTTACTTATAGAGCCTGGGTGACATTAAAGTGGCCCCACTGGATTGTCTGCAGCTAGAATGGATAACTCCCTCAGGGCTGTACAGATGGAGCCCCCTCCCCTAGTCCTTCCCTGCATAAATACTATAGCTCTTCCTTGATACCCCAAGACCACATGAGTAATGCAGATAGAATTGCATAAAACTGATTGGGAGGGGTGACTAGATACTCAAGTGAGGGTTTCATGACCCTCCCCACCCCTCCGTTCTAGGGGAAATGTCAACAGTCAATAAACCCAGCTGTGATGATCTATTGGGAGCAGATCCTTCCAAACTCCTGAAGATGGCAGCAGAGCAGTTCAGACGACAGTCAAGTACAACAGACTTGAATGCTCATTAATGCAGTCTTGGAAAGTTTTAGTAAATTATGCCATGCCTGCTAGCTAGACATAATAAGGAATATATTAGAACCCCTGGAAACATAAAAAATTTTGTGAGATGCCACAGAAGAGTTTAATGGCTGTTGGGCGAATGAATAAAGCAGTAAGACCTTTGCATTTGGCAGACAGTCCTTCCACAGTGATTATCAGGTGCTTAGAGCCAGGACTGAGCCCAGGCTCTCCATGTCTGGACTCTGCAGTTGGCTATGCATAGTGACATTTCTTCACCAAAGAAACCACAACAAAGGACTCTAAGAGTCAGGCTCCATCTGGGCTGAGACCTGAATCTTGGGGATGTTCTCAAAAGGAAAGTTTTGATTGTGTCTTTATATCTGCAAAATAGCAAAAAGATACCTGTGTATGGATAAAATCTGGAATGCAGTGTATAAAAGGTAGTTGCTTTGTTTGCCAGGGGGAAATTTAAAGACTTTCTTTTTCTGTGATGCTAGGGCACTTTGTGATCTGTACTGGAGAATGAACTCCAGGCCTTGTATATGTTAAGCAAACTCTGCCACTGTGCTACACCCATAGCCCTCCACCACTTTGAGTCAAGGTCTCTTTTTGTTTTTTTGTTTTTTTTTTTTTCATTTGTTCTCTGATGGGAGATGTCATTCTGTATATGTTTCTCATACTGGTTAATAATAAAGCACTGTTGGCCAATAGGAAAGGAAGATAGGAGGGACTAGGAGACAAGGAGGAAATAGGAAGTAGGAAGGAGGAGTCAAGATGGAGAGTCTGAAGAAAGCAGTATGCCGCCGGCTCCCCGGTAAGAGAAATACATAGATCAGCAGAAATGGGTTAATAATTATGGCAGAGCTAGCCGAGAAGAAACAAGTAATAGGGCCAACAGCATTATATCTAATACAGAGTCTCTGTGTATTATTTGGGGCTGGCGGCATGGCGGCGGGACAAGACCAGCGGCAGCAGGAAGAAAAACAGTACTCGTTACAGTTCTCTTTCTTTTCCTTCCTTTCATCTGTCCTTCCTTCCTTCCTTCTTTTTTTCTCAACACAGGGTTTCTCTGTGTAGCCCTGGCTGTCCTGAAACTCGCTTTGTAGACCAGGCTGGCCTTAAATTCAGAGATTCGCCTGCCTCTGCCTCCTGAGTGCTGGGATTAAAGGCGTGCACCACTATGGCTGAGACAAGGTTTTTCTTTGTGGCCCTGGCTAGTCTGGCTTTAAACTCACAGAGATCCGTCTGCACCTATCTTCTAAGTGATAGGATTAAGGCAAGTATCCCTACACCTAGCCTCCTAGCTCCCTTGGGAATATTTTAAATTTTGAGACAAGGTCTCAGTAAGTTATTCAGGCTGGCCTTAACTTGTGATCCTTCTGCCACTGGTCCCAAGTTGGGGAGATTACAGATGTGTACTACCATGCCTTAGCTTCAGACTTTTGAATAAAATGTTTTCAAGAAAAGAGGCCTCAAGTTGTGGCTCATGCCAGTAAACCCAGCATTCAGGAGATTGAAGCTGGAAGATAACTATGAGTTCAAGGTCAGCAGGAGCTATATAATAAGGCCCTCTCAGAATCAAAAGTAACAACAAGACAGATTTCTCCTTAACCTTCAACTCAGTGTCACTAAGTGAAGATGAAAATCAGGTTAGTGGATGGCTTAATGCTGGTCTTATCCAACACACTCTTAGACCTTGCCAATAACTCATCCTCCAGAAAATGTCCTGGATCTTTAATTGTTCTAAATTCTAATAAAAACACAACATCTGCTTTCTCAGAACTTGCATATTAGAACAATGCCAGCCCCACACAGCTTTTAATTGTTTGACAAGTTCAACCATTTGTATAATGAATTCTAGTCTTTTCCACCACCCCCTCATTCTTTATTCTTCCTCTTGCTCATGCTGCACTCCCCTCTACAAGTTGCCCTCTTACCTTCATGCTTTCTTTTTGGGGTGCAGCCCCCTGAGTTTAATTAGAGTTTCTTGCCTTTGCAGGGTGGAGGATTACTCACTGGAGCAGGCCAACTGATCAGTGATTCTACCACTGACAAAAATAGTTGCCAACTAAGGATGTCCAATGTGGCTCTTTAAGTGTAAATACATTAAAATTAAATAAAATTAAGCTGGACATGGTAGCATGTGTCTGTAATTGTAGCAAGTGGGAGGCAGAGACAGGGAGGTCAGGAGTTTGAGGCTAGCCTTGGCTATAAGAGACCCTGTCTCAAACCAGCTCAAACAAACAAAACACCCAAACACCAACAAGCTAACATACAGACAGACAAACAGAAAAATCCAGTCATGGTGTCTTTAATCCCAGCACTTGGGAGGCAGAGGTAGGTAGTTTTCTGTGAGTTAGAGGCCAGCCATGTCCTTGTACTGAGTTCCAGGATATGTAGAGAGACCTTCCTCAAAAAACAAACAAAAACATCAAAACACTTAAATAGATCTTCCTTCCTTCCTTTCTTTTTTCTTCCTCTTTCCCTTCCTTCCTCCCTCCCTCCCCTCTTTTTTGTTGCTTTTGAGACAGGATCTCATTTAGCCCAGGCTGGCCTCTACCTCCTGGTTCTCCTGCTTCCTCCCAAGTCCTGAGATTACAGATGTTATGTCACCAGGTCCAGCTCTCATCTATTCAGTTCACTGGCCACATATCAAATTTTAGGAGTCACATGAAACTAATGGCTACTTACTGTGTTTAACAGAAAGATGCCAAATCATTTCCATCATTGTAAGAGTTTAGTCACTCAGTGTCATTTTAGAGAGAGCAGTCTGACAATCAATTTTTAGAAATGGACAAAGGGTTGGAAGTATATGTCATTGGGCAGAGTGCTTGCAGAAGTGTAGATCATTTGGTAGAGTATCTGCCTACCATGCAGCAAGCTCTGTGTTCAGTACCCACCACTGCATATATATCACGTGAATACTCCTGTAATCCCAGAACTTGGGAGGTAGAGGTGGGAGATCAGATGTTCAAGATCATCCTCAAATATAATGAGAGCTTAAAGTCAGACTGATGTATGAGAGACCCTGTATTTAAAAAAAGGGGGGTGTGGGAGGAAGAGTAGGGATTGCTCTAAAGCAAGAGATTTCAGTTTATAAAAATAACTAATTGTATCCTTCCTCACATGGTATGAAGAACACCAATTTCTGGAGCCCCTGTACTCTATACTGATGCAAATTAAACAGGAAAGGCATTTTATAAGTCAGGAAATTTAAGTGGCTCAAAGCCCTTGTGATTCTGTTCAAAAGTGAGAATTATATGCTATTCTCATGGTATTCATCTACATAGGTCTTTACATTTTTTACTCTGTGTGACAAAATATCATTCCTAAAGTATTATCTTCTGTCTGCATAAGAGTTCCTATAGGAGAATCTGTAGAGAGTAGTCTGACCAGGATACAGTCAAGCTCTGGATCCAAGGAATCCACATGTACATCTTGTAGTTTCTTTGCTGCCAAAGCCAATTCTCTCAGCTGATAATTTTCTTGGGCCATTTACGTCCTTATCATCTTGTAAGGTTTGAAATCAATTACTTAGTTCTTGAGTTGTCAATCCAGTGTGGGCCATAGCAAGTTAATATCTTCCAACAATTTTTGAAAATCACTAAGAATTCATAATGGATCTCTCTTGATTTGCACTTTCTGAGGTTGAATTCTTTGTAAACCTATCTTTTATTCTAGGTAGTTAATAAGATCTCTTCTTTGTATTTTTCAGGATCCATTTGTAACTCCCAATAAGGCAAATTTTTCTTTACTTCAAACATTTTTTCCTAAGGTATCTTTGTCTGAATAAGCTAGTAATATACCATCCATATAATATTGAATTATAGATTGATAAAACTTTATGAATTATTTTCAATGGCTGTTGCATTAAATATCAATACAAGGTGGTGCTATTTAATATCACTTGTGGGAGAACTTTCCACTGACTCTTTTAACATGCTTGGAATTATAAATAGGTACTGTGAAAGCAAATTTTTCTCTATATTGTTCATTTAAAGGTATAATAGAAAAGCAGTCTTTAAAATCAATCACCCTTTATTTAACTGCAATATCTGGTACCAGAAGTGGGGTTAGGATTTTCACGGGACCTGGGTTTCACCCAGGTGCCAGATGCCGTTCCCCTCCCCCACCATCCCCAACAGGCAGGGTCCCTTGCCTAACCAGGTGGACTCACCACAGCTTTGGGATATTTGCCTCTTCCTTACATCTCCTTTGCTGCCACAGCTGGCCTGAGAAGGCACTCACTGCTTCTCATTTTTTGCCCATTTCCGCACTGCACTTTGCATTCGCGCAGAGCCGCTTGGCACCACCAGCTCCTCCTTGTATTTTTAAAACCATTTTATTCTTTTTCTCTCCCAAGCCTACATATATTTTAGACAACACTGTAAACCTTTAGAGGTTTTATTAATGCGAATCTGTTTTTACTGTAAATCTTTATCTTTTTGTGGCCACCAGTCTTTTACCTGGTAAACAACAACATTGCTGAAATGAAATTCATAGTTGTTTCTGCGGCGGTTTACCAAATATGGTGGTGGGGTACTTTTACCACCAGCACTGAAAGCTGTGCCCACTGCCTTGGTCTGCGCTGCCATCCAACAAGCATGCTGCCGGCTTGGAGATGTGGTCACTGCCATTGCCATCTCTCATACACACCAATAAATTGTTAGCAGAGTTGTATGTATAATTTAACACAGATTATAGATAGTTACCTATGATAGTCAAAACTTAGAATTAAGTTAGTTAGGTTTTCAAGATGTATTTGAGATGGATAGGTATTCTTCAAACCTTTCAAAGACCTACAGAATGTGGCATTTAAAAAGGCTTAGGGTTTTTCTTGACAATGAGGCACAACTGTTCCTTGCAACACCACCTGCATCAGAAAGGAAGATGGAAGATGGACATAGAAGAAATGTGTTATGAAGTTTGCTTTCAATATAGCAAGACTAGCCATTTGGACAAGATACTGCTCTTGTCTGGACTGTTTGACTTTGTGCTGTAAACTGGACATGCAGGACCCACAGGAAAATGACTCCTAATAAAAGATGGACATTGATACAGAGTTCCTGCTTCATGGAAGAGTCTGTCAGACTATATGCAAGACACAGGGAAAAGTGACTGACAAACTGCCAACATAAGAAGATAGTTTAAAGTTTCCTGCTTTGCTGAAGAGTCTGATAGACACACTATGTCCTATGGGCTGAAGATGGAAGATACAGAAGAACTTTAGGTGACTGGCCAGACAGTGAGTTGTCTCTGTCATTTCTAGAGTTTATATATTATCCTTCTGTGGTCTTTGATGGAATTGAAGACAAATAGTTATGGTTATAGTTTTCCTTAGTTAGGATTAAATATAAGTTACTTAGACTTTAGACACACAAAGATAGGATAGATGATGAAATATTTTCTTCAAATCTTGCTAAATGTTAATAGACTAAATATTGTTAACTGTGATTCTTACTTGATAAGCGTTGTTTGATATATTTTGCTATGTTAAGGTTAAGGTTAAAACCCTTCTTTTTTTTTAGACAGAAAAGAGGAGATGATGGGAAATGCCATTATGTATATATGTTTCTCATACTGGTTAATGAATAAAGCACTGTTGGCCAATAGGAAAGGAAGATAGGAGGGACTAGGAGACAAGGAGGAAAGAGGAAGTAGTAAGGAGGGGTAAAGATGGAGAAAGCAGAATGCTGGCTGGCTCCCCGGTAAGAGAAATACATAGATCAGCAGAAATGGGTTAATAATTAAGGCAGAGCTAGCCGATAAGAAACAAGTACCTGGCCAACAGAATTATATCAGAGTCTCAGTGTGTTATTTGGAGCTGGCGTGGTGGCGGGACAAGACCGGGTGGCAGGAGGAAAAACCGTACTTCTTACACCTTTAGATAATAGACTACCCTTTAGATAATAGAAAAGGCAAAGGAATTCCAGTCTGTAAAGAACCCATTGTCTGACTTACCTTATTTATGGCTCTTAAATCTGTTAACATTCTACATCTTCCAGGTTTCATTTTCTTCCTTCCTTCCTTCCTTCCTTCCTTCTTTCTTTCCTTCCTTTCTTTGTGTGTGTGTGTGTTTTCTGAGACAGGGTTTCTCTGTGTAGCTTTGGAGCATGTCCTGGAACTCACTCTGTAGGCCAGGCTGGCCTTGAACTCACAAGATCCACCTGCCTCTGCCTTCTGAGTGCTTGGCTTAAAGGCATGTGCCACCAAGGCTAGGCTAATTTTCCTATTCTTGAGGATTTTCTGTTTAGTCCTGTCCATCCTGAGACTTGCTATGTAGACCAGGCTGGCCATCACAACATACTTTCATCTCTTCCTCTTTTATAAAGCTAGTGTCTCAGAATCCCACTATACCATGCATATATCCTAATGGTTTTCAGGGAAAAAAAATTTGAACAGGTAATTGATACCTTGAATCTGGAATAAGAAAAAAACCTGACCACATAACACACATGTATTAAAGAGGGAAATGAATAACAAGAGTCTTTGACTATAAACCAGATTGCATCTTGGATAAGAAGAAGCCATGTTCTCACATCTCTCTGCTGCCCTCCATGACAGTCTGGATCTCTAACTGAATCGCTAATAAGACAGCTTTCTCCTGCTCTCACTAGCTAAAGCTTCCTCCTCTGTAATTCATCTTTACCCATTGGAATCTTAGCTGTCCTTCAAGATCCAGAATGAACACCACCCTGCCATGAGCAGCCCTGAATGGAAATCGAGTCTCCTTCCTCAGTCCCAACACAAGGCAGAGTCCAGTCTTCTTTCCACACAGCCTCTTCTTCCATGAAGTACAGTGCTGAAGGGCTGCTGCTTCTGTGGACCTCATATCTCACATGAACATACATATTGAAATAAAATCTGCTTGGCGGTTAAGGGAGCTGCAGCCAAGCCCAAAGAACTGAGATTTTGAGAAGGCAGGAGACATGAGAAGTTAGGTGTCTGTTAGAGAATGGGGGGTCCCTAGCTTTAACAGAGATGTCAATCCTCTCCTGGACTCATCCAGACAGGTCACCTCACAGGTCAGAGGGTTGACTGCAAGGGGACTATAAGCTTGTAGGGGGAGAAAGAGAGGCAGGGGGCAGAAGTTAGGGAAAAGAGCAAGTCCTGGTGGATTAACTAGGGGGAGCAGTTGGGAAACAAGCTCAAGTGTTTTGAGGGTTGCCCATGCCAGGATCTAGAAGTTTGCATGAACAGATCCTTGCCCAAGGCAATCCTCAATCCAGAGGGCTGACAGAGGAAGGGTGAGTGGGAGAAAGTAGGAAAGGTTCATAACAGGGTAAAGCTAACTCAGTGACACCCCAGGATCCAAGGGTTTGCCCTTGCTGCCCTGCTGCCGCAATGCTTCCTGGGTTGCAATAGGGTCTCCTGCTCCAAGTGCCTGATCCAGGATTGAGAGCCACGATAGGAAATGATGTGGAAGATGAAGTCAGGAGACTGGACTCAAATGCAGGCGGGTTTATTTCAGAGAACCCGAGAAGAGCTCACATTAACCTTTCACCAAGCTAGGAGGAGGAGAGAGAAGGGGGGCTTGTTCTTCTTTGCTGATAAGGTTGGCTTTTTGCAGTCGGGTTGTGTCTCGAGAGTTCAAAATGGCGTACAAAGCACAGCCTTGTTTGTAATGCTTTGCACTCGTTGTGGGTTGGGTCCAGCACTGGAGGTTAAGATAGCCAGGAAGTTACTACGTCACCCTGCAAGATCACGTAAGGGTTATTAGCCACTGAGCCATCTCTGTGGCCCACCCTCCTGACCCTCAAACCCACTTTGTTTTGAGACAGGTTCTCGAAATGTAGCTCTAGCTATCCTGGAACTCACTGCTTAAACCAGACTGTCCTCAAACTCAGAAATCTGACTGTCTGTACCTCCCAAATCCTGGGATTTAAAGCCTCTGTCATTACACCCAGCTTCAGCTTCTCTGGCTTCTTTTGAATCCATTTTGATCAAACTTTGTATCAAGGTCTCCAGGAAATAGTATATTTCTAAACATGAGTTGGGGGTCTTTGTTTTGTTTTTTGAGTCATTGATTTATGTATCCCAGGCTATCCTTAAAAACTCACTATGCAGCCAAGGCTGATCTTGAACTTCATATCCTACTGCTTCCATCTTCTGAGCGCTGGGATTAAAGATATGTGCCACCACACCCAGTTTAAATGCTTCTTCTCTTTAATAGACAAGTATTTATGAATACCAATAAGAAAATTTGCTTTAAACTACTCTGACCCTGGAAGAGTAGGTCTAGAAATGGTGTGAACTGAGTATGAATGTGGAAGCCACTGTCCATGTGTGGAGGGCAGAGACAATTTTCTGGAGTGGTGTCTCCTTGTGCCAGGGATCTGAAAGTGTAAGTCAGCTGTCCAGGTTGCCTGGCAACCACTTGTAATCCACTGAGCTAACTTATCTGACCCAAACGAACAAATGTTATCAAGAGATGAATTTAAGTATGGAGATATTCACTCTCATACTCTCTGATTTTATATTTATTTACAATTTTC